GCAATCTATAAAAATATCTGCATGCATATTTTATATGAGCACATATACACGTATATTTATAAACATGTTTTATCTTTGACTTGTGAGCTTAATAATTTTCCATAGGTCTGTATTGCATATGTAAAGTCTCCTTCTGTTTACTCTAAGTGTCACTATTGAAGAAGAACACAAAGAAATTGAAATGTTCATGGTTTAGAAAAATTAATATTGTGAAAATGTCCATACTACCAAAAGTGATCTACAGATTCAATGCAATCCCTAACAAAATACCAATGACATTCTTCACAGAACTAGGAAAAACAATCCTAAAATTTGTATGGAACTACAAAAAAACCCAAATAGCCAAAGCAATCGAGAGCAAAAGGAACAAAGCTGGAGGCATCACACCGCCTGACTTCAAAATATTCCATAAATCTGTAGTAACCAAAAGAGCAAGGTACTGGTAGAAAAATAGATATACAGACCTATGGAACAGAATAGAAAACATAGAAATAAAGCAATGCATTTACAGCCAGCTGATTCTTTATAAAGGCAAAGAGAATATCAACATAGGAAAGGAGAAACTGTATATGAGGGTGGGGGAAGGTATGGGAATGATCTGTACTTTCTGCTGAATTTCTCTGTAAAACTAAAACTCCTATAAAATAAAGAAAAACACAAGTATTGCTACATGTAGGTAAACTTAGCAAAACTTTCTTTGTTCAATATTTTCAACAATGAGGTAAATATATTCCACTTATTTAAATACCTTTTAGATTTTTTATTTCTTCTCTGTTTTCTATCTTTTTATGAATGGTTTTCTAAACATAAAATGTATCTACACGTGTGGTTTTTCAATACTGTATTAGTCAGCTTTTCACCGATAATGGTTTGCAACAAACCACTCAAAAATGCAGTGGCTTACAATGTTAAGCATTACTTTCATGTTTACAGATGTTCATGTTAACCGTGACTCAGCTGATCCAGGGAGGGCTTAGCTGGGTGCTTCTGCTGCAGGTCACTGAGCAGTCTCTGTCTCCAGCAGTCACTGTCTCCAGCCTATGGATTCGGTTTGATCTAGGGCCATAGCTGAAGTGGCAGTGACTACCCAAGGCAATAAACAATATCCTGAGGTTAAGAGACATAAGCAAATTTAAGTTTGGACATCAGCAACACTAGTATCCAAAATTTGGATTTATTCTTTTGCCTTGGGAATTACTCAAATTTTAAGAAAATCTTTATTCCATTAAATTTTCCAAGTAGTTGATTATGCCATTGACAAATAATTATATTTTTCAACCTTTGGCATTTAAAAAATCGAATTTAGTTATATGTTAATTACAAAATAATGGTATATTTTTAACATGTAACTTTAAAGAAAATTTCTTAACTGGCCTCATTGGATA